GATGTGGTGTATTGGCTGCTTTCCTTCGTGCCCATCAAATAGACCGTAACTAGCACATTAACATCGCATAATTGACAGCAAAACATGTATCTTTTTAGCAGCAGCAACTCCAATGTGTCGCTGCTTCGGATCCTTGATCTGTCAATATTAATGGTGAAATCAGATGGAACAGTTTTATCGGCGGTTAAGTCGCTCGATCTGATCTCGCAATGTCGACATACACGCACTCCAATTAGCAACTTTATATCTCGCTGCAAATACTTTTTGAATTCTTTGAATAAATATATGTATGTTTAATCCGTAATTGTTAAATCGGGATACATGCGTGAAATTCAAATCATGAAGTTAAGAGTCGTCGATTGAGAATCTAATCAAGCCGGGAGAAATTTAATGAAATACGTAAAATTAGTAGATCGTGTTAAACGCATATAAGTTGAGTAAGAAATATGTAAAAAAAGAAGAAGGTGACTTTGCCTTCGTTTGTCCCCCTCATTCCATATCTAATCTCCCAAAAACTCAGATTCCTAATCTAAAATCAGCTCTGGTCTCACAGTCGAAAAATAATTTCCCGAGTTTTTCCCTCATCTAATATTTTCGCATTCTACTCCGTTAATTCCGGGAAAGATCTCAAATAAGGACTTGAAATAATTTGTATTCTTAAAAGAGGGCGCAGGGTCGACATTACCTCAAAATAAGATCCTGAAGCGACTAACGGAGTCTTAAAATAATGCCCCGAGCTCGCCGGCCGGCTAACGAGAGCCCGTGACTCTCACGTGATACTTTCCGAGCCGCAGCGGGGGCGATTTTTCAAGGGTTTTCAATTTGTGGAACCAGACATCTCTTTCTAAGATCTAACAATAACTGGGTACTCATTGACCAATGTTCTTAACATCAGAACTCAGAGGAAATTGAGATTTGATTTTGATGGTGTAGTCATTAATTGACTTAATCTGCTGCTTCTCCTCCTCCTTTCAGGAACTCCAACGGAGGATTATGGACACTGTAATTTCAAATTATTTATGTATAATCTTAGACCCCAGAAAGGGAAAGTTGCTTTTTTCTAATATTTTTTTGCATGCAAATATTTTATCACTTGCATTTTTTTTTCTGATATTATTTTGCAACTGTAACTTCTAGTTGACAGCATTTGCATGATGACCTTAGTTTTTTTTTTTTTTTGCTCGAATTCATGACCTTAGTTTAGAACATGATTTTTGCATCACTTTTACACTATTTCGGGTGCGAATGGAAACCATACTCTTTTCCGGCCTAATTTCTGGCCAGAAATAGATTTTTTCTATTTCTATTCCTTGGACGAGTTTCTGAGCAAAAAGTAATATTTTATAACAACACAAAATTTTTGTTCCCGAAATAGAAATTCTCTTGATAAGTTATTCTTAAATTTCTGTTCTCGGTAGCGATGGATGGCCAGTGGCGATGACGAACGGCGGGTGGCGAGAGGACGGACGACGGGTGACAGAAAACGATTGGTGGCGGTGGGTGGCGGGTAGCGTGGGTAATCAATAAGAAGAGTTATTATTTCTGTTCCAAGCCTATTTCTCGAAACAGAAAAATAGAAAAACAGGAAAATAGAATGATTAGTACTCGCGCCCGATATAACATTACGGAATTATCTTTCCGCCTACCTTCCTAACGTGTAAAATAATACTGCTGTTGGTGCTCGACGAAAGAAGAGGATCATCGACAAAATTTACGTATGTGGAAAACCTTATAGAAGTGAAATCTTAATGTTTTGAAAAATTGAGAGATAAAGCGTAAATCTATCGAGTTTTAATATGGTAAACGTAATTTCGTTCATCCTAGATTGCGTCCACCGACTAAGACACTCTGATGTCACATTCGACTCTCATTTGATTTGTGATTGAAAAAGACCTCTGATTACTCTAAACCTTATACACGTGTGTACAAAGTCCAAACAAAACATGCCCTTTTCTAGGAGTATAACAGGGACGTAATCACCCTTAACATCTTTGGCCAAATAATAAAGGGAATAAATGTTTTTCAATCGATCACGAGTTTGAACCATATCATGTCATGAGCGAATTTTTGAATAGAATGGCTTGTGATGTATTGCCTAACTACGACATAAATCGTGCAAAGAGATTTCATGTCTAGTAAAATCTTGGTGAGATTATAGTGAGAAGCTCGCCAATCTAAGATTTCGAATATCAAGTGATGTGTACTAATTATGTTTTAAATCGAACATTTCGCGGTGGGCGTAAGATTCTTATGATAATGTCTAGAGATGATGATTACCATTGATTGCCCCTCCTCGCCCTTTTGACAAATTGAAAAGGAGTTTTGCTAGGTCAACTCACCGTTAGACGGTGGACATGAATTCGATTACAAAATTAGCTCCAAGCATAAACGTAGATATGACGACCATCCAAGGTTAATGGATAATTTTTCTTCCTATGTTTTTACCCTGCCATGCATGATGGCTAGAAGCGTGATGTGTCCCACGTTTCTATTGAAACATGCATGGATTTGATGATGATGATGATGATCTTATGTTGAGACCCATGGCATTCAAGACGTAGGGCTAAGAAGTGAGAAGTCAGCTAGACTAGGGGGTTCCAGAGAGGAGCAATTAGCTTTTTCAGAATATTATTATTTTCCCCCTTTGTTTTTTGGCTCCCCAGTTTTTCTTTTTCTCTGCAATCCGTGGTCGTCCTCCACCACCTTAATGGGATGAGTGCGAAAGGCACTGCGCTCTCGAGCCTCGTGCACAGCACACAGGCCTTTCTTTGGCTTTCTTTAATTGGATCTGTTCGCATGCGATGAGAATCATCAATGCATCCATCCATTCACTTATCAGCCAAACCCTCTTCATTTTATTATCTGGTAATTGCTTCAAGAGCATTCTTTGATGTTTCTCAACTTTGATGATGAAGTTACAATCTTAAGTCATTGACTATAATTATGTGCATGGTGGAATGTATAATTTTCTTGATTAAGTGCTTAAACAGTATACTCATACCCATCATTGTATTTCTATTTTGTTTTCTGAGAAGTATGCTTTTACTATGTTGAACTTAAGTATATCATTTCTGGCCAAATCTGTCTTCTCTCTCTCTATATCTTTTGGCGCAGGGCAAAATTTAAAGAACTGTTCCGCGCATGGACAGCCATTGCTTTCTGCTTTTGTCGATTGTATCACATCAACATCTCTCTGTCTCTCTCTCTCTCTGAAATATTGGGAACTTTATTCAGTTGAAAATACAGGGGGGGAAAGACCACTTTTTCACGAACTCTTTTCAAGAACACCAACCAAAAGCGGCATGGACAAGTAAATTACCTCGGTTCCTGGTTTTTTTGCAGCAGCAGAGGGTGTGTAAATGCAGCCAGTAATGAAAGCTTCTTATTAATTAACCTGAAAAAGGGTTTCTTCATTTATTGTTCTTTCGTCTTATTTTTCTCCTTCGTGGGGTTGGTACGTAAGAGATCTTTGGTTTTCGCAGGTCATAAGATTTGGAGAGAGTGACTTTAGTACAATAGGGTAGACCCATCATGGGTCCGAGTCTGGTTATTGGATGAAGGTGCTTGTTTGACTCTGGGGTTTCTTGCATGGAGGCATCCTATTCTTGCATGGGACATTTGAGGGTTTCTAGGGTTTGAGGGAGTTTTTTGCATTTTCATTTTATCTTTCCAATAACGTCCCTTTAAATTCATGGGGGTTTTTTTTATCTTTTGTTTTGAAGAGAGGGAATGATGATGAAGATGGGATTTTGTCATTTTAGGTGAATTATGTTTTCTTGTGATCAGAGTTGGGGGTTTAGGGTTTTGCAGGGTGGATATTGGGAAAACTTTGAACGATGACTTCTTGTAGTTTGTGTAGCAGTTGGACTCCTGAAGAAGTCTAATGGCAGATCTATATACAGAGAGACTCTGAATATCTTGTAATTTTTCAGTAATGGACTCGACAATTTCACAATTTGACCATCATGTCATAGGCCCAATTTTATTCAAATTTAGTGTGAAAAAAGCCCAATCTATTGGATACCACTGAACGAGCATAACACCATGCTTTGTATGATTTACCGTACCGTGCTCGACTTTCAGATTTTTTTTTTTCTGTTGGTGCAAAGCCAAGAGCTCTTCTTAAAGCTAAAGAAGGCGAAGAAGAGACCTAGTTATGTTCTTGGGGAGTTATTCTACTTTCAGAGTGGAAAGATTGTTCGATCCCTTTTCGCTCCTTCGATTGTAATTCGATCAGAACTTCTTGAATTATCCCGATTTGGAGGACGAATTCTTTGATTCTTCAATTTAGACTGAACCGGAATAGCTTCCCTATTTATTCTTATTTGCTTATTTGTATGAAATAGACTATTTTGTTTGTATGAAACCCAATCGGGTTTTCAATATTTCTTATTATCGAGGCTGACACTTACCTATATCTCTAGTAACTATGGTGAATTGGGGGTGAATAAGAAAGGGGCGCTCCAATGCGCCTTCAAAACACATGATCCACAGATGGGATTAGGCATTGACCACGTTGGAGCGCTCAAAAATTGCATAGGAAACGTGATCGACAATGAAGTCGAGAGGAGCTGATCAACTCATTTGTGTGAAAGTTATTGAGTGATTGCTTCTTGAAGTTCGGTCTTGGACTCGGTTATGGTCTATGGTCTTGGGACACTGTGTAGCAGTTGCACACCTGCCATTTGAAAGAACATAGCTCTCTATGCTGTATATGATCACTTCGTAGGTGGAAGTTCATGTATCTTAGCTTCATCTCGCCAATGAATCACATTCATTGCTTTTTGGCTTGAATTGCGCCGTTTCGATGTTTCTAATGAATTGGGGCGTATCGTGGGTCTCATAATACAACAAAATTGAATTGGTACTTTCAGTAAGTATTTGACAGAGTAGATTAGCAAATGCTTGTAAAAGACAAAATCCATCAGACTCGCGAGAACAAGACCCTTGCAAAAGGAGAATGCTTAACATGAGAACAAGGCTTTACAGGAAAATCAGTATTCCTAGGGAAAAAATCATGATCTTTATTAATGTTATCTTTGACAACATAATCATATCCGACAAAGAATAATGTACAAACTACGACGGGCGAAATACCGGGGCTAATGTCAGTGGTTCAGCTTACGCTTCTTCGCCATTTTCCTCATCTGTTCTCTTCGCTCCTCCTCCTCAATTAGGCGTTGTTGCTCCTCGTCTTCCTTCCTTGCAATTTTAGCACTGTACACCCCAAGCAGGCAAACGAGTCCGAATTAAGGTCAGCACTCACTAGTTCAATTTTCAAAGCACAAACACACTACACATGGAATCTAGAAAAACCAACACCAACATTCCGACAACTCGTAAAAATTTCACGTGAATTAAAATCAGCACTATATTCAAATTCAAAGTGCAAGTGGGCTTAATTTAGAAAGACCATCAATATGATATTCAAATTCAAAGTGCAAGTGGGCTTAATTTAGAAAGACCATCAATATGACTATTTCAAGTGGCCATTTTTCAAAAGGCAAGAGACTTCAACATTCTTTAGCCCTACACCATTTTCTTTTCGAAATCATTCCTTATTCGTGCAAGCATTAAGCATGTAAAATGTAAGACAGCTCTTATCTCACACATGAAAGTTAAGGTGCACCTATTCCCTACATTCCACAACCTAGTTTCATGCTTTATCCATTTGCACATACTGCAAATGACCCTGTGATGAAGCAGCTCCACAACATTATGAAATGGATTTGGTGGCAGAACCTAGTTATAAAGAAACCAGAAGATCCCGAGGAAATCACTCAAAACGTCACCAGTGTGGTGGCAGCAGCTCTGAGCACTCAATAACATAAAATAATGCACAGTGCCACGAACACTCAAATAACAGAAAATGAAACAAATAATTGAACAAAAATAGCAAAGAAGTGCAAGCATGACAATCGTTGTTCAACCACCATGGTAACTAAATGGTACGAGACGAACCTTCTCTTCTCCTCCTTCATAATTTCATCGAAATTTGCCTCCATGTCACTGTCGTCATCATCCCGACCAGCATATTTTTGAGGATTATACCTGCAAGAAAATTGTGATCGAATATTAATCTAAAAGCACTTGCATCAAGCATCTAACCAACTTGTCATCAAGTATAGATATGAGATGAACTATACACACCAGGTATCATAGCCATTTCAAATTTTCCCTCAAGATAAATGAGATGAACTTATAAAAAGCTTGAGCTAAGAGAAGACACCAGTTTGTGGTGAGGAAATCTTCAGACTAATTCACATCGAATCCAGTCCACCCACTAGTTCTCAACAGCATCAAGAATGGAGTACTCATGGGGTGATTTGCGAACAGCGCAAACTTACACCGTACAAGTGAACATGAATAGCTAGCTGCTGATGGTGAATTGTCCACCATCGTCCGCATGGTCCAGATCGCAACAGCACCACAACAATAACATTTAGTTTTTTTAAGAAAAAAAACAGAAATAGTCTGAAGGGAACCACACAAAAGGAGCAGCTGTAGCATGTGGTCAGACAAGCTTTTTGGAGAAAATGAGACATGGCATAAGAAATGTCTCCACCTCACCCACATATATTTCGCGAAATAAGCTAAGACCTGTTTGCTTATCCTCACTAAGATCAACTGGCATCTACAGAACATCAAGCCCACTAGGTCCAGGATAGCATATTATCAAAACTCATGCTACATGAAGGAGAATTTGCAGAATATCTATCTCGATTAAAGCAGGAAATACGCCAGATTAGGCATCTGCTCTTCTATTTTGTGCATACTTGAAGAGATATATTTTCTATCTGTCTTGCTTAAATACAATATTGTATTAGTTGGATAGTAGATTTGTGATTAAACATCTGCTGTTTAGGTTGAACCTAACCATCAGTCTCAATTTGTAGCTCATATTTTCCTAAGAATAATATAATGGGAACTGTTAGATTTTTGTGAAGAGAGGCAGGCAGGGTAGGAAAATGGAGTTCATCTAGTAGCATTTCTAGATGTACAACAATTGATCCTGGTCCATAAAATTGCTGCCACAAATGTTTTTGAGGATCCCGCCCCATATCTTCAGGGACAGGCTCTTTTCCTGCCTTGTTCCTTGCTCCTAGATGAACTCCATTTTCCTGCCCTGAAGATATGGGACGGGATCCTCAAGAACATATGTGGCAGCAATTTTACGGACCATGAGCAACAGTTGTATATCTAGAAAAAATGCCATTCTGCTACCATGACATAAAATCTTCCTCTGCAACTTATTTTAATTTGATAACATAAGGAATGGAAGGAACCATAGGACAAGGAAGAAATCACTGAAAAAAATCAAGAATTCCGTATTCAGTTGTTTTAATAACCATATCATACAAGCTGTATACGTGCGCATCCTTATGCTCTAAGTGAAGAATCTATCAATTGCTGATCAATGTTGGCCCAGTATCCTTGGATTCTGAAAAGGTCTTGGGAAAGACCAATTTCGTTGGTTCATGGACAAGCACTTGAAAAAGCACGGCCACTTATGCCATCATGACATTCCTTTCTATTGTAGAGAATAGTCAAAATAATTAAAATACACAATGGCAACGACAATCCATCCTTTCCAACTAAGTGAAGTCTGCTAAAAGAAAAAAATTTCACACTGTTACTGTGTCCTACCACATCTTCCAAGTCTAAGAACTCAACATCTTCCATTCTGCTTTATTTGTATTTTTTTTCCAACATAAAAGAGTAGTCTATGAACACGCAGCGACCACATACAAGCTGAGTAATTGAACAGGCATCAATGGCTTCCATATCCTCTAAAATGGTTAAGACTAGGATTTTGAGTTGAAGAGTCTGCATCTCTTCCTACGAAAGCTATCTTAAAAAACATACCACCATCAGAAGCATTCTGCTAGCGAATGTACAACTTTAGTTACTTACAAACAAAAAATTGATAAATACATTTTTCAACCACAGCTGGTCTCACCACATCTAATCAAATACACCATCATCACCAACAAATGCTTTAAAGTAACTAAGCTGTGGCACGTGAGCATAAGCTGTCAGGTAAGAATAGTTACGATGGATTCTTGATCAAGATGCTAACCCCAGTCCATATGGTGCCAACATTCAACCTCGCCATTGTCACAAACATTACAAGACTGTTACCAGAAATTATTTCCTTCTTATGACATTTCACTGCTTAAAATGCCACGATCAAGATTCGAGAATTACGGAAATTCCTACTTCACATGGCATCGACATGTAGTCATGGCCACGGGCCGGTTTCGGCCCGGAACCGGCTCGGTCAAACCCGGGCCAGGACCGTTGACCGGGCCCGCGGTTGGAACAGAGAACCGGCCCGTGGCATACGGGCCCGGTTCCGGTTCCAAAAAAAAAAATTAAAAAAAAAAAAACCACACTCCGCACCTGCGGTCTGAAGGCCCCACCCCCACCCACCCTCACCTCGTCCGATCACAGCAAGTACTCCACGCCCTCCTCTGTCCTCTCCCGGACTCCCACCGGTCTTCCGCTCCACGCTCCACCTCTCCTCCTCCCGTCCACACCCCTCTCCGCGGCGCCACTCCCACCCCTCTCTGCCGCGCCGCCAGCCTCCACCTCCCTCCTCCTCATGCCCTCCTGGTCCTCCCACCCTTCCCTCCCTTGCATCGGCGTCAAGCTCGTGACCCACTTCCGACAGCTCCTTCCACACTTGAGTCCTGCGGTGGTCCACGCCGTCTTCGTCCTCTTCAGGCTCTCCTCCGGCCAGCCCCTCGCCACCGGGCGGGCGCCACCATGTTGACCCCAGTACCGCACCGCTGCGTCTCGGGCCTCGCCTCCAAGGCTCCTCGCTTGGACCGACAACAAGGTCCTCGTCATGGTGGGTCGTCCTTCCCCCCTCTCCCCCTGCTTCTGGGTCCTCCCCTTTTCTCCTTCGCCCGCCCTCCGTCTTCCCGGATCGACCCCGCCTCCGCTGGTCGCCCCGCCCATGGCCGCGACCCACCCGACGCCCGATGCCTCCTCCCCTTTTCTCCTCCTCCCCCCTCGAGCCCGAAACCGGCCCGTACTAGGAACCGGCCGGAAACGCCGCCGGTTCCAAACCGGAACCTGGCGGTTCCTGAGCCGTGGCCATGACTATCGGCGCACATGGCTTAGCTATTATCAGACACCACATTCTTTTATTGATCTCAAAGTACTTCATTTGCACCCATATAGTGCTGTTAACTTATATTCATTCTCCTTCATCAAAAGAAATTTTTCATCCGTTCTCATTTGGCAAGATAGGGCTTAACAATTGTATGCTTGCAACTGCAGATATTTTGTGTTTACAAGGGTCAGAACCGAGCTGATAAAGGTATGTACAGCCTAGGGAAGAGATTTGGTTCCATGGCACAGAGCCTTTCCTAATGGGCCACCACCACAAACATTTAATTAAAGAAACAGTGCCATCAAGTTCCTGAATTAATGCATAAAAAGATCATCTAGATAAGGAATCTTTACTTAATTGACTCAAAGTACTTTGCTGAAGCTAATGCAAAGTCATGAGCGAAGACTGAATCAGTTTTGTTTATGACTAAGCATCTCATGAACAGAGGTCTCGTGAAAAGAGTTATCCAACTACTCCCAAAAGTGCACACAGACAGAAATATTATCAGGCCATCCAATAATATAAATAGAAATAGAATGATCGAGTGAAATGATCACAGAAGAAGCATGATAAGACAATATACATAGAACGCTCGCCTGAACATCTTCCTGATCATATTAATAGCCATTTCACCATCATCTTCATCGTCGGAGAATGGTCTTATAGGCTTCTTCTTGGGCTTCTGATCTTGGGATTTAACAGCAGATGAAATTTGATTTGGAGGCTTGTTCATCTGTTTATAAGAAACGAGATCAGACAGTCAGCAAACCAAAGTGACTATAACAGATGTCCATCTTTTGTGAGTTTACACGAGTATGAATATATCCCTGAAAAAACGAACACAATGAGATGGACTTAAACCTGAGGCCTCGTAGAAGCAGCTGGCTGTCTAGGTGCAATTTTGTACTTATCGGGATTCCCTACATCCTTTCTCTGTTGCACATTGTGCTTCAAAGCAGGCGACGGCATTTTCGCAGCTGGCGGTTTGGACATCACAGGAGCGGACATCTTAGCAACTTGTGAAGTCTTCCCTGTGATGGCAACAGGTTTCTTTTGTTGCAACCCATTTGACATTGCAGGCCGTCCAGGACCATTTTGATTGTTATTATGAAGCTGCCTTTTGTCAGCTGCCAACATCGAATTAGATTTGGTAGTAGATGAGAGCTTAGTTGGGCCCGCTCTACCGTTTGTCTGACCATTTATAGAAGGTGGTCTCTGACCGTTTATAGAAGGTGGTCTCTGACCGTTCATAGAAGATGTTCTCTGACCGTTCATAGAAGATGTTCTCTGACCATTTACAGAAGATGGTCTCCTATCATCTCGAACGTTTTGAGGGATTCTACCATTGCTACCAGATGCCTGTTTGCTTGGCAATGGCATTTTAGCTGGCCGTGCCTCTTCAAAACCACAAAAGAACCATATAAGCTTATCAATGAAAGATATAGGCAACAGATATATATGAGAGAATTCATCTAGAACATAGTAACACACCAGAGGTAGAAGCAGAGGTATTTCGTGAAGGGGGTTGCTTTGCAGGAGCAGGAAGTTCAGCATCATCAGATAATAAAAATGAATAGTCTCTTGTATCCTTCAGCTTTTGAACCTTCTGTTTAACCTTAAAGAATCAGCAGAAGAATTTATTAGGAAAAGGTAGCAACTAAGTATAAAAAGCTGTAAGAGCATCTCTGTAGACAGCTTACCGCAGGGATTACTTTAGGTATCTTGTCACGAACTACAGGCCTTGATCCCGTAGATGTTGAGGAAGAACTCTTCTGATTCTGAAATGCATAAAGGTCTCAGCAAAGAGCTGATAGCATGAAAGGTATGATGAGAGTATTCACAACTAAGATACATGGCAATTAAGAAATGTGTTGAAATTTTAAGACCCTGATGCCTGACTAAGTCTGCTATATTAAATTCGGATCATGGAAAACAGGTGGCCCTCGTGGATGTGAAGAACCCGCTTTTACCATTAAAGACCTATTATTACTTAGATACTGGCTGTTTGGGTTTATATTGCCTGTTCCCTTCTTGTCTTGTTATAATGGGCGAACCAAATAACGCACTGCCAAAGGTTGTAGTTTATTCGTTGCTAATTGTACAATTCACAAGTTGCTAGGGCAATTAGGGCCTCATGAATTCCATGCTGCATCAAGGGAACAACGGTGGAGGAACTGATGACACTTATAACTATTAGGTATGAAGAATCTCTATTATGAAGTCTTGTGTAATCTCCACAAACAATAAGAACGACAAATTATGGCACGGACCTTGTACTGTGACTGTAGAACTCGGGTAGCCAAATGTTGATTCTCCAAAAGCGACTTGCTTTCTTGAATCACTCTCTGCGCAATGACTGGCTTAGAAGGGCCAAAGAAGGACCCATAACTGTTGAAATGAGTGAACAAACCTTAAGGGTCGATTCATAAATTACTCGTGCAGCACAAGCATATGAAAAAGCATTCCAACAAACCAATTTTTTATACAAGCAAGAACGACTTCCGAAAACACTACACCTAAGCCATCATCACAAAGATTGAAAATTTCAGCTGGAAATGAAGTGACAGATTGAAACACGCGATGGGAATGAAAGATGAAGCAGCAGCAGCAGCAGCAGCAACATATGCCCTTTATGGCTAACAAATGCAACTGAATCTTGCAACGAGTTAAGGGCAAACTCACTTGTCATTCGGAAGCTTCCTTCTGTCCTGGGAAGCAGAAGCGCCTTCCTTCTTCATCTTCCGCTTCCTAATCCTCTCTTTCAACGTCTGCCTAAACTCGAGGTAGTCCATCTGCTCCTTGGAGGGTTTCGGGTCTTCCTCCTCCTCCTCCTCCTCATATTCCTCGTCCTGTTCTCCTCCATCCTCCTCGTAGTCATCGTAATCCTCGTATTCCTGCACCCACCACCCGGGCCCCCCCGTCAACACAGAGAACACAGGCATTCGCAACAACACACCGGATCAAAAACACGAAAGACGGAAAATCCGGCATTCCCAAAGAGGACGACTGTGGACTACAAGCAGTGCCGAACTCACATCTCGCTCGTATCCCCTCATCGCCGAGCCGCAATCCAGAGAAAGCCGAAGCCGGCGAACCCGATCGAACTGATTTCGCCGGAGATACCAGATCGACAAGGGGGCCCCCGCGAGAATCGGGTCGTCGGAAGCCGGCGATCCGCGGGACTCGTCGGGGGATAGTCGGCGGAAGACGGGGGTTCTCCGGCGAATCCGAAGGGGAAGAAGGCCGCGGCGGCGGCGACGGCCGGCGATCGTGGGGGGAAGCCGGTTCGGGATCGGAACCCTAGGCTGTTCGGGGGAAGAAAAACGGAAGGAAGAGGAGGAACGACCACCCCTCACGCGGTTGGTGTTTTTTTTATGGAAGACGATGGCCGAATCGCGATGGCCCGAATCGATCCCCTGGTGGGGGTGAAATGTCGAGATTGGGCCTGTCCCTTGCTTGAAATTACGAGCACTGCCACTGCCACTGCGGTTTTTTGCGCGGCGTGTTTTCGGATCGGACTGCGGCGTTGCTCCTTCGTTTTTTGATTTTGCAAGGGAGAATACCGGTGCCGAAGGAGTAAGCCGACTCCTTCCGTCCGACTGACACACGGCCCGGTTGTTGATTGCGCTACAGCCTTTTTGTATATCTATGGACGGGGGTAGGGCGTGCAAAGCGGACCGCTGAACCGACTAGTTAGTGGCTCTCGGGAGTGTCGGTCAGGTTCGGTTTCAAGAGGGAACTCGATTGGACCGGACCGGACTGACTATATATATTAATTTTTTTTTCAAAAAATTAGTAAAATATGAACTAAACCCTAAATAAACTTCATTGACATAGTTTCATTGACAAAAATTAGTAAAATGCGAACTATACCCTAAATGTTTGACCCAAAAAAAAACTAAACCCTAAGGGTGCGTTTGGTCGTTTGGATTTCTAGTCAGGATATGATTGGATAGGATAGGATTTGAAATGCAAGAGATTTGCTGTATCCCATCTACTGTTTGGTGAATCACGAAAATAAAATCGGATATTTTCACATCTTACCATGTTCATTATTTGCTATGAACATCATATTAATGTAAATGAACCCAAGAATTGCATAAACGAAGATTATAAAAATCTCTCTCACGACACTCTTACCTATTTCATTTTTATTTGCTTATTTTTTATTATTTTTTTGCCTCTCTTTTTAATTATTTTGTTTTTTTATTTCTTTTTTCCCCTTCCATCATTCTCTAATAAAATTTTATTAAATAGTAAGCTATACTGATATACCTAAAATATATAATAAATATAAATACATTAGTATTGATTTATATGTGAAATTTATATCACAAGATATAAATCAATTTTGAATATAGAAATAAAAATAAGAATAAATAAAAAACGAAATTATTGTTATTTTTTTGTTATTTTGAATTTTTATATTAAAATTCATATATTATTTATATTCAAATATTATTTTAATTTTATTAATTTAACAAGTTTTTATTCGACAAAATTAACTTTTATATTATGAATATTAGAAATCCTATCCACTTTTATCGCACCTTCCCCATGGGATAATTTTATCCGGACTATATCTCTCATATATCCGACTTTATCCTATCTTGGGTAGACACCAACTACGGGATAGGATAAATTTTATCCTATCCCGAATTTTAGCCCGACCACCAAACGTAGCCTAAGTGACCAGTTTTATTGGAATTTTTTTTTTTCGCACGGCATTTCTACTGCTCTCTTATTCTTCATCATTGTCATTCGTGCAATTAATCTGCAAAGTTGCGTTCAAAGGTTTCCTTTAAAGAAGTACTGGTAGGACCAACCGGTCTAGTTCTCGATTCCCAATTTTGGAAATTGGTTCTCTCAGTCTGGTTCCCGGTTCCACCTTGGAACCGGACCGTACCGGGAACCGATCACCCCTAGATGGGTGACGTGTGTGCTTGCTTTCTGAGGGATAATGACAACTATAATTTCTGCATTTTGACATAACGTAGTCCCTGAATTTTTAATTTTTTTTCGTCAAACCCGAACTTTTAATTTGTTCAGTGTGATCCCTGGACTTTTGGTATACGTTTGATGTAATCCTCGTGCTTCATGAAAATGTTCAATGTTGTCGATATATGAAAATGTCCAATGTTATCATTACATTAATTCAAGTTTAGACATAACATTAAACATTAAATTATACATGTACTAAAAGTCCAGAGCCCATATTGAACAAATTACAACTTTAGGGACGATATTGCGCGTAAGGCTAAAGTTCATCGACCACATTGAATAAATTGAAAGTTCATGACCACGTATGGATCATTTATGTCATTTTCCCTACTTTCGATATCATTCGGCTTGCAAAACTAAATTGAATCGATCATTAAGAGGAGATGGGCACGACCGCGGACGCGGAGAGAGAGGCTTGCCGACGAATGATTACATCGATTGTATGGAGTTCCCCGACTTCGAGATAGACGGCGACCGGGTATAGATGGCACGCTTAGCTCGCCGAGGATGACTACCGATGAGGAGCGTGACGACCTTTGACGATCGATAAAAGCTCGATGTAATGCCGGAAATCCTGACTTAACTGCATCCTAAGAATCCACTATTGAACAGATAGAGTGCGAGGATCGTGAAGCACGCCACTTCCTTTGTCTTTGATTTTCAGCTGTGATCCTCCCAAAAAAGGCACACAAAGCTCGAGTATGAAATTGAGGGGGAGGCGCACAAAACTTAGAGTAATGAGTTCGAAATCGAATCGAATCCACCAAAGCCATTTGAGATTCAATCTTGGCATTAACTATCAAGTACGAAGGAGGGATTGACTCGACGGACGAATCTACTATTGGCATGAGAACATGTTAGAATAGAAATGATTAGATTAAGCTGTATGATTAGTCTAATTGTGATTGTATAAACATGTTATCGAAATGGTTATGCTTAGTTGAAACGAATGCGCACAATAATCACAAAACAAGTTGGTGCTCTAGAGCACTCTGTTGAGAAAACCTTCTGCTATATTTTGAAGATGACAAAATTATTCACGATTTATCTTAAATCCGATGAACGGATAAAAGTGTTTTCTTTTAGGAACTACTCATGATGAAAAGTTTATATCAATCTGGATTATATTTAGACGCCATCTACTATTGTTTGAATACTGTGGCTAAAAGCTTAAGACAGTTATTTCGTGAATATCATCAATAATATTGCACGGATATCATCAGAGCAATAGTGTGAATATCAGCAAAGCTTATACGCGGTTATCATCGGAGCATTTGATTTCTTCAGATTCTATGCTATATTTATATGTATACTATGCTAGCGATCTGGCTCAAATTTCTTATATAGAAAGCATTGATTGATCTTCAATCTTAAAGATTATTTTTCAACGAAATTCTTCACGCAAGACATGTTGATTGATTGGCAATCACTCCAAAAGGCAAGCTACTTTCTTTAATCGAAGAACTCTACTTATGGAAATCAAGATTTGTTTGTATAAGCAACTTAATCAACGAATATTCAGCTCTTATCTCTCAACGGCTACCCAATCTTATTTGTGCATTTTTGTCCAACTGGTTGTTTGGAGAGTGATCGATTCCTGAAGACTATTCAATGGATAAATTGGAAGTTGATGAGTATAAAAGGAGACCAAGGTGCCGAATAGCATAGAAAGATCCAGAATAAAAAAAATCCAAAGTTCCAGAGAACTTCATTCTTACGTACTTGTGTTCCGTGAATTATAAAATATAATTCTTAAGAAGTATTGAAAGAGTGATTGGGTGATATAGTGAGGCCTATCATAAACTGTAGTATTATTACCCACTTTTTGACTAATGAAATCTTGTCAGTAAATTGTCAACGTGAGATAGTGGATGTAAGCTTTGCTCTAAACCGAACCACCATAAATTTTATGTTCAATTTCTTTCATCTCTCAACTCTTGTTCATTATTTCTAACAGAATTTTGCGCACTAGTGAATATCATCATATCACTGTCAATATTCAGATTCTGACTTCACTCGAGTTTGGTAATACTCAACTTGACTGTTTTACTTTCACATTAAATTGTCAGGAGTCCTTAAAATCATTTATTTACTTTTTTCTCTAGAAAATATTTTTTATATCATTCATTTTTTGCGAAATAAACGCACTCATAATGCAAAATCACTAGCTTTGAAGTCCAACAAAAACAATGCATTTGGACAAAAGAACGTTATGAATTGAATTAGGACAAATTATCATCTCGAAAAAAATTATTGAAGGTTTTGTAGAATAAAAAAGAAACTTGTCTGCTACAAATTTGTACATGAGAGAAGAAATCCATCCTCTCTCGCTTAGAACAGCTGCACTCATGGTGGAATCTGCACTACAGGACTGACAAATGTTCAAATATTAAACCACGCCTTTATTTAATATTTTATAGAATAATTGGTTATAATCTTACAAAATCTCACAAAATAAATAAGCAGAAGCGCTTCCCCACTTTCTCAAACATTAAATTGGGAATCGCTCTAATGTCGATCGATAAGCATATCTATTCTTCAAGGGCAAATCAAATGGAAAAAGCCCTCTATAACTGATATGTTTAAACATAGTGCAGATGACATTTCATTTGTCCGGACCAAAATGTCAATTGGCTTCTATTTCACCGAAAAAATGGGCGCTGACCCAAGTAGCGAAAAATCTTTCATCAAAAAATCGATCTTTTGATATTTTTGTGAGATGGGTTTAGTGGTGATTTTCGGATAGGAAATTTAACCGGCGTTGCAACGAAGATGAACATCAAATTTAAAAGCATGATAACGTAAATGATGGCAACGGATTAGACAATGGCATTAATAAACTGATAAAAGTATATCGGGAATTGTGTTTCGGATGATGGGTCCTTACATGATTACGCGTCGCTATATATATAATCCACTAATTGTAACTGCTCACTAGCGGTTATTATTTCAAGTATGGTTATAACCACACTTTCGAGATTCCAATTCCTTTATCCGCACTTCGATCTCATTCATAAACAGTTGCAACTTCCAAGGCCATTAGGTTACTCAATCGTCATTCACTATTCTTTCCTTCAAATTATATCCTTATCCTCATGTTCTCCCTTTGCTTCTAACACTTTAGAATGGCCAAGTCTTTATTTGTTCAGTCGATGAACTTCGTTGCACACCCCTTTACTACTTGGCCATGTTGTCCCCAC